CCAGGGTCAGATCTAGGGTCTCAATCTCCTTGAACATGGAGGAGAGGACACTTTCCGCCACCCTGGGGTTCTCCCCGCTGGCACCCACCACGACGGTTGCCTTGGGGTTCACGGGGGCTTCGGGTAGTGTCAGGACAGAAGGGGCTTCCTCGAGGGTCTCCCTTGGAGGGGAGACACTACCTTCTGGTGCTGCCACGTCTTTCCCGGGTGACACCAGTGGATGGGACGCAGTCATGGGCAAAGCGGAAGGCTTGGCATCGGTGCCCCCCTTCCTGGTCTTCCGGGGGGCCTCCGCTTCGGGTGGATGAGGCGCAGCTCGAGCCTTCCGCTTGCCTCACTTCCCCTGGACTAGGGCCCGGCCCTCTATGGCATCATCTGGGGGCTGGTTAGCAGGGGTCGTGTCAGGGGGTAGAGGCGATGGCTCAGGGACTTGGGGGGGGGGAATGGTGGAGCAGCATAAGGGAGGGAGGATTCTCCCTGGGGCAGGCTCTCTCCAATGCCTGGTGGTATCTCTGCCACACCCTCCTCCATAGGCCCCGCCAGATTGTCAGCAGCGAGGGTGGGGCTCTCCCGCTCGTCTGGGCATTGTAGGGGAGGTGCCCCTTGGGCCTGAGCGGGAGTATTGGTGGTCTGAAGAGGAGCGGGGGCGGGTTCGGGTACCAGGCGGCCAGGGGCGTTGGCAAGGATGGGGTTGATGTCCTGCCGGGTCTCGGGGATCCCAGGTGCCCCTCCTTCCTGGGCTAAGGGGCAGTCCCTCCGGACATGCCCTGACGACTGGCAGGGGTAGCACCGGGCTTCCCCGGTGGAGAAGTACACCCGGTAACGGGCCCCCTCGTGAGGGACTAGGAAGCATCCCTCGAGCGCCTCTCCGTCACGCGCCGATGGCAGTAGAAGCTGCACTTGCCGGCGGAAGGAAAAGATGTGTCGGAGGGTGGGGTCCTTGCAGCCCAACGGGAGAGGGCTGATAACAGAAACTGGTTTCCCCAGGGTGGAAAGGGCGGGTAACAGGGCAGCATTGGGGAGAAAAGGAGGGACAGAGGTCAGGACCAGGTCGTCTAGCGGCTCTAGGGGGAGAAACACCCCCCCCCCCACTGCCAGGCCCCTCTCCACTGCTTCCTGGGCAGCAGCCTCCGATGCTAAGAAGAAGACGACCTTCCCGTACACTTTGGATGCCGCCACAATGGCCGCGGGCCCCACCACCCTCGCCAACGCCCGCACGTAGGTCTCCACGTGGGGCGAGGTGGGCACCAGGAGGCATAGGACACCGTGCTTCCTTGTCATGGTGGGAAAGGGGCCCTTGCCACTATCGATGGTGGCTGAGGTGGTGGGCAGGAGAGATGATGAAGCGGCAGGTGGGGGGGGGGGGCTGCCGCCGCCCGGGCATATGTCCTGGGGGCTGAGGGAGGGACACCCGCAGAGCTGGTGAAGGAGGCAGCAGGGAAGGATGCCGTGGTCGGGGGCGGGGCTGCAGCAGTGGGGGTGGCCCCTGCCATGGAGGGCCTGGTGGTTTTAGCAGGGCCCTTCCCCTTCTTCTTGCCCTGGACTTTCCCGCCGGCTGGGAGGGGCTCCCCGGAATTGGGGGAGGCGATAGGCATGGCAGCGGCGGAGGTCACCCCGGTGCCCTCCATTGCCGATGCCTCAGCGGGGGTGGTGGCAGATGGTTAATAGGAGTTGGGGGTCAGGTAAAAAGGGACAAGCTGTGGGGTGGACAATTTGGGGGGGGGCACATGAACCACAGTACGCTTGTACAGAGAGTCCTGTTTGGTTGGCTGGTGCTTCTGGCCCACACGGTGGAATCAGGGCGAGCAGCTGAGTCCAGAGGCAGATGTTAAACAGCCAGCAAAGATGGTGGAGGGGGGCAGTGATGAAGATAGTAGTGTGGAGGTTGGGAGGACACAGATGGATTGGGGGGCAGCTCCGTGCCACACCCCCTGTGTCCCTACAAACACAGTCAAGGCCTCCCCCCACATGAGAGCACAGTTCGAAAGTTACTCAGTCTTAAGGCCCCCTCCACAGCGATTTGTAGATTCCCTGGGTGGTGTTCCTCTGGTAGATGGCTTTTTCCCTTTCTTTTCTGGGCTTTCTTTGCAGCTGTAGCATTCCAGGGATGCCGGAACAGATGATAAGAGTCTCTCTCGGCCGGATACGGGTCCACAAACAAACAGCAAGCGGCTGGGTCTGGGGGCTGGGTCCCTCCACTCCCCGCCTCCCGGGAGTGGGTCAGCAGGCCCCCCCTCTCTCAGGGGGTTTCAGTGTCCGAGGGAGGAGGGCTGACAGCCAGCCGGCAGCTGACCAGCGCTCAAGCAGCAGCAGAAAAACAAAAAAAAGAGGGGGGATAAGGTGGGAGAGCGTCTGGCCCGGTCGGGGGGAAGCTGAAAACAGGGACAAAAAGTAAGGAAAGCCCAGGCCAGAGGGCAGCAGGAGAGTTGAGAAGGGAGCCTTATTCCCTGTAGAGGGAAGACTGTTTGCTATAGATTAATTAAAGCACCTGAAGCCAGTCACCTGATAAAACCTCCATGCTTCAATCAGACAAGGGAAGGAGTTGAAGCAGAGAGGAGAGTTTGGAGAAGTGCTGTGGTGGGCTAAGAAGACCAAGACCCTAGGTAAAGGGACATCTGTTTTGTGCAGAGGGAGGGCAGGAGAGGGAAGTAGCCCAGGGGAAGGAACTGCTAGTTCAAGTGGTTTACGGCTGGGCCCCTGGGCTGGGACCTACAGTAGAAGGTGGGCCTGGGTCTCTCCCTCTTCACTCCCCTACTCTAGGACACTAGTGGGGCAGTTAATTCCCCAGTTCAGGGGTGAGAAACAGCCCTCCCCAAGAAGAGAGAGTGCGGGACCCATCAAAGTACTGCTGGCAATTTGCCACATTATCCAAAAATCATCTTAATATTTTCTGGAAAAAAGTGGAATGTTTACATTACAGACTTCTTGTGATGCTCCTTGTAGCATAAATCTTTTTTTTTATTTTGTAGGTCACTGACCCTGTATATTTTATCTGTTCCTTCTGTGCCTTTGTAGTCTGGGTCAGTTTGACTACTGAAAATGCACATATGTGGGGACATTTTCAGGAAGATACAGAGATTTGCCATGTGATTCCCATTAATGTTAACAGGTATCATGCAGGCAAACCTCTCTGCACCACACTTATATTTACTTCTAAGGGATGGCTGGATGGGTGATAAGCATTACAGTGCATCTTTTAAAAATCAGCTGTAGTGTATTTGGCTGATTTTACAAGATAGGGATTGATGTGCTCCCAGTTGGATATCAGAAAGCATTATCAAGTCTTATAGCATGTACTAAAAGCCCTTTTGACACGTTTGTAGGAAAATCTTACTGTGCATACAGAACAGTCTATTTTGAAACAGTTAACAATTCAGGGACTAAGGGGTTTCCTCCAACCTAATAGTAGTAGAGTGGCTTACCACAGCCCAATTCCCTGTCATAGTTCATTTTTTCAATAAAAGATGAGAGACAAATAAATATTGGTAAAAATGAATTTTCCCTAGACCCAGGTCTTTCCTGTCAAATGACTTCACTGCTAGGTTTTTTTCTTACACCATCTCTCTCCTTTTTCTACCCCCACGATGGAGATTAGAAGGGAACAGCTGCCCTAATTTTCACTAGATATAGTAGCCAAAGGCAGCAGTAGAATAACCGTTCATCCCAGCTCTGTAGTGGAAGGTTTCAACCAAGGATGCGGAACCCTGCTGTACTGTGTTTCATCTGTCTTCTTGGGTGTGCAGGAAGGGGAGGAGGAAGGGGAAAAGGGTTTGGAATCCTGTCTTCTACCTAGTGAAGGAATCAAGTTGTCATAGAGGGTTGGTGGGGTTTTTTGGGGGGAGGGGTGAAAGAAGGGACAAAGAACCTCCCCCTGTAGCATGAGAACCCTCCACCTACTATCTAGCTCCCCTCTCTCCTCTCCTCTTTTCCCCCAAACGCTCCTCTTTCTGACCAGGCCCATTCCCATTTTATCTCATTCTTCCCTCCTCTGTAACTCCATTCTCCCTTTCTTCCCTGAAAGCAGCCCAGAGGCTGATTCTACAGCCCAGTTGTGGTGGAGTTGTTGGGAGTCTTAGCTTCAAGTAGCTTCTTAGCTATTCTCCCCCATTCCAACCGTGTACCTTGGCTATCCTAGAGCAGGTCTCATTCCCTGAAAGCAGCCCAGTTTCCCACCCCAAAATCTCACTGTTTTATTTACTGTCTCTCTTATATGGCTCTAGCCCCAAGGTCTCAGAAACCTTCATCCATTGTTCTGTGCCATGAAATCCCTTTTATGTTTCTCAGTCCCCTACCAGATACTCTCTGGGTCCTGCTCTTCCCTGAGGGGAGCAAGGGTAGGAAGGGAAGGGCTGGGAATGCTTCTGTAGCCTTTGTTGGGGGGGAGGAGAGTGGAATCCTCCCACTCTCCAGTCTATCCTCCATCCCATCCTTGTAGCGGTGTCTGGGGGTAGAAGAGGGGCTTGGACTGGAGCCCTGGTCTATCCGTTTTACCCCTTACTCTGCTTCTCCTGCGTGTGTGGAGGTGGGTGGGTGTGTGTGAGTGGGAAGGGCACAGGTGCAAGGGCTCTGTCTCTGCTGCACTGTCTATTCCATTCCCCAGGTGTGTCTGCTCTGCCTTTGGAACCCTACTGCTCTCTCTGCTCCAGCCCCAAACTGCTTAACGTGGGGGCTGGTGGTGGAAGTGGCAGGGGGAGTTTGGGGAACCCTACTGCTGCTCTCTCTGCTTCAGCCCCAGGCTCGTTCTCCTGGCGGCTGGTGGTGGAAATGGGAGGGAGAGCCTGGAACCCTGCCTCTCTCTGCTCCAGCTCCCGGGGTGGGTGAGCGCACGGAAGGGTGGACCCCGGCTGTCTCAGCGCTCCCACTCGGGTGGGGGTGGGGGTGGGTGTGTGTAGGGCTCCGGGCTGGAACGTGGCCCCCTCACCCTGTGCTGTTTTCACTCGCTCTGCTCATGAATATTCATGAATCTCCTCCCTGTGACGTCGCAGCAGTCCCGGCGTGAAAGCTGGCGCTGCTCTGCTCCTGCCAGTGAGGCTGTGAATGACTGAGCAGCAAGCGAGGAAACCGCCGCCGTCGCCGCAGCAGCCCAGAACCGCTCGCACCTGGAGGCTGCCCGCGGGAGAGGCGGGCGGAGGGAGCCGAGGGGCGCGCCCAGCAGCCCCCTGCGGGCCAGCGTTTGGTGGCGCTCACGTCTTGGCAGGAGCCGAGAGTCCCCACCTGCCTGGAGCAGCCCGGAGATGCTGAGGCTGCGCTGGGAGTCGGCGGTGCTCCTGCTGGGGGTCGGGACCCTCCTGGCCGCTAAAGGTGGGTGGCGCGGCGAAGTTTCCCGGCAGCCTGTCGGGCCTGGGGGGAGCCCTGCCGGCCGCGCGGGGGGACGGTGACACTTGGCTGCCCTGAGCCCCGAGCCTGCGGCGTGGGGAGCGCCCAGGCTCTGGCAAAGAGCGGACACAAGTTTGGGGGCTCGCGGCGGCAGCCAGGCGTGCCGGGAGAGAGAGCCCGGTGCAGCTAGGCGGGTCGCGCTCCTGCTCGGAGCAGCTGGGGTGGCTCGGAGGGAGCCAGCCGGGCTAATCATGCCGCGCACATGGCTTCCCCCGCCAACTCCTCACGTTGCTTGTGCATGGTGTGAAGTCAGTGCCGGCGTGGGGAGTAACCCACCACCAAGGGGACGCTGCGGAAAGTTGGAGGCACAAGGAGCCGGTGGGGCGCTGGGCTTGGCTTGGGGGGGGGTCACCAGCATGTGGGGTTGAGGGGCTCTGGCTCTCCAGGAAGAGTCTGCCGGCTTCGGGTCGCTTACTCCAAGGGGAGAGGTCGGAGACCAAGCCGTTAGCTCGGGAGCCAGACCGGATCAAAAAGCTTATTCGTGTGACTGAGACACCCACCGCCTGCCTTACAGTGAATCCCAAGGGAGTGAGTGGGTAATAGCCGCCTCATGGGGCTGGTGTTCCTCGGCACTGGGGGAGGACAGCTTGCTGGGTACTCGGGAGAGCTGGGACAACGTTTGAATAACTTGTTGACTCCAACTTTCTTTCTTTTTTTTTTTTTGGACAAGATAAACATCCATGGGCGGCACGGGAGTGTGTGTGTGTGTGTGTCTGGAGGTGGTGACAAATGAAAGGATGTCAGGCTGATTTCTGCTGAGATTTACCTCGACTTTCCGATTACCGTTCCGGTTTGGAGATCACGATTGCATCTATTAGCTAAAAAGACACAGTCGTATTTAGGCATCTCAAATTGGTTGGGATGTCTCCTGGTTCAAAGTAAACAAATGGTCAGGGCTGACTAGGACACTGAAAGGAAAGTGTGTGTTTTGGGATGTGTGTGGAGAAGGTAGTAACAATTACTTCTTCTTGGAGGCTGTCTAGCATCAAACCGCTGGGTCCATCCCAAATTAACTGGGTCTGCTCCCTCTTTTTATCCTGTTGTTGTAATTAAATATAGATTGTTGGAGGCTTATTTAGATTTATCCTTCAATAACCTCTGCTTTTATGTAGGTCTGGCAACCCTTTGCTGCTACTCATGTTGACACTTATGGATTGTTTTGGCCCATTAAAAAATAATCTGATTTTCCTTCTGACATTGTTCTCTTGCAGTTCTGCTTCTTTTCACTCTTACAAAGAGATTCAGAACAGAAGTTTTGAGGTCTTTAGCTTTAGTTTATTTTCAGATCAATTTAAAGTGATCTAATTACTGTGTTCATGTAAGAAATCCTGTCATTTTGTATTATTTTTGTGGGGGGCTCTTTGGTGGCTAAATTACAACTGGACTCATGTAAAATCCAAGGAACATTGTATTCAATATGGAACCAATTTTTCTGGAAAAAGATTCCGATTACTTGAAAAAAATCTAAACGATTCTCTCAATAGACAGAAATAGAGGAGCCTGAAGGAACTTAGTTCACATAAAGGGACTTGTTTTTCTGTTTCATATTCAGTATATGTATTTGGAGCACTACAGTACATTTGTCCTGAAAATATTGCATATTATAAAGTTTGATAACCAATAAGGGGATGTATTTTAATGCAAGGATATATCTCTGTTTTTCTCTTTACCTACTTAGCATAAACTTTAAGATAACCACCTCTTGTTTTAGATATTTTCTTCTAGCAAATATGCTATCTTTTGTTTCTTCTTAGGCATCTTTTACAATGTTGTAGCCAGTTCAACAGACAGGCACATCTGAATTCTATATTTTTGTCAAGAGTTCTACTTTCCACTTAACCACTGGAGGGCTGCAAAGAGCACTTTTGAACTGCAATAATTTAAAAAATAAATGATTAATGCTTGATTAAAAATACTAATGACACTTCTGTTGTTTTACATGGCCTGCATTGTCCTCTACTACTTTGAATCCATATTTGTATTTAAAATGTGGTCTAATCTGTGGGTAAAATATCACAGTAAAGTGTCATATAATCACACGTAATGCATCTAGTATCTAATATACTTCTCTCTTTAGATTCTGGTTTTCATTTACATCAATAAAGAGGGGAAAGATAAAGGTTGTGTAGATTTTAAAAAAAAAATTCATGGTGCTTTCTTCTTTCTCAATATATTTCTATATATGAGGAGGATTTGGAGTCAAAAGGCAGTTATGTGCACATAGTTGAAAGGCTTGTTAGTGCTTCAAACTTAAATCTATTTGGTAGCTTGAAGCTGAATGCTTTCTTGTTTAAGGCACTAGTAAGATGTCATGTACTTTGTACACAGCTTCTATGCCTTTTGTGATTGTGCATCTTGCTGTAGGGGGTAGCACAGACAATCCAGGACAATTATTCAGAGTTTCTCCATCACTCAACTATTCTAGTGGCACATTTTTAGATTAAAACACAGAAGGTTTTGGAGTGAGAGAGGAGATCATTGAAATCAGCAATCCCTCTCCTGTTCATTCAGTAAGACTAATAGATGCCACTTTTAGGATTATTTGGAGTTGCATGCATACAGTTGAGTTGTCGCTAAGTTCCCTGCAGGGCCTGTTTCCTAATCTGTGCAGCCTTCAAATGTTATCACTGAGCGCCTAGGAAGGGTTTTTCAGTACATTTTAACACACATGGCCACAAGTAGGAACAAATAAAAATGTAGTGCCATTTCACTTCCTCCCTCTGGCCCCCACAAATCTGTGCATAAGGCAGATCATTAAAATTATTTCTCATTTTAATATTTGGTTGTTTTAAATGTTCAGTTAAGCTTAATAAAAGATCCAGAACATCTTGTGGGATCTCACTAGTTGCACTATTGAAATTCAACTCTTATTTGGAATCTGTGAGTAACATAAACACTACTTTAATCCTAATTTTAAGTACAGCAGGAAGCATCTCAGTGATCTAAATAAGTAGGGGAACATTTGATACAAAATTAAATCAGTTATATGTGCAAAACTTGTAGCCTTAGTTATTCAGAACACTTCCAAATCAATGGAACATTGAGTCCCACTTGGCAAATGCATTATGTGGCATCAGATATGACTGCCAGCAACATGAAAACAGCAAACCCAAAGGGACAGATACTTCATATTTTGCTTCCAACAAACATATAAGCCTGAACTCTTCCCCCTGCATCTCCCCTAGCAGAAATGTTTGAGAATTTCATAGGAAGATATCTTAAATATTAAGATGAATGAACTTGAGTTCCTGGTATTAAATGAGGATATTCATATAATAGGCACCTCAGAAACTTGGTGAAATGATGATGATAAATAGGACATGGTACACAATATAGAAATGCCAGAGTACGCTCATGCTGGGGGAGGGCGTAGCACTAAATGTGAAAGAAAGCACAGGGTCAAATATCATAAAAATCTTAAATGAATCAGATTGTACTCTAGAATCTCTATGGGCAGACAGTCCATGCTTGAATATTAAGAATATAAGAGTAGGAATATACTACCGACCACCTGATGAAGATAGTGATTGTGTAATGCTCAGGGATATTAGCATGGTTACCAAAACGGACAACCTAATAATGGGGATTTCAGCTATCCCCCTGTTAACTGGGCACATGTCACCTCAAGATGGGATGCAGAGATAAAATATATAGACACCATAAATGGCTGCATCTTGGCCAGCTAGTGCTGGAACTCACGAGGGGAGAGGCAATTCTTGATTCATCCTAAATGGAGCACAGGATCTGGTCCAAGAGCTGAGTATAGCTGAGCTGCTCAGTCATAGTGACCATAACATAATCAAATTTAACATCCTCACAGAGAGGAAAATACCAAAGAAATCCACCACAGGAGCATTTAACTTCAAAAAGGAGGACTACACAAAAATGAAGAAGCTAGTTATACAGAAATTAAAAGGAACAGTCCCAGGAGTGAAATGCCTGCAAGCTGCATGGAAACTATTTAAAAACACAGTAATAGAGGCTCAAACTAAATGTATACCTCAATTAAAAAAACAGTAAGAGGACCAAAAAAACACCCCTATGGCTAAACAACAGAGTAGAAGGAGCGGTGAGAGGCAAAATGACATCCTTTAAAAATTGGAAGTCCAATCCTACAGAGGAAAATAGAAAGGCACATAAACTCTGGCAAGTAAAGTGTAAAGGCAGGCCAAAATAGAATTTGAAGAGCAACTAGAAACTAACAGCAAAAATAATTTTAAGTACATCAGAAGCAGGAAGCCTGCCAAACAGTCATTGAAACCACTGGATAATTGAGGTACTAATGGAGCACTCGAGGAAGACAAGGCTGTTTCAGAGAAGCTAAATGAATTCTTTGCATCAGTCTTCGCTGCAGAGGATGTGAGGGAGTTTCTCACACCTGAGCCATTCTTTTTAGCTGACAAATATGAGTAACTGTCCCAGGTTGAGGGGTCAGTGGAGGAGGTTTTGGAACAAATTGATAAATTAAGCAGTAATAAGTCACCAGGACCAGATGGTATTCACCCAAGAGTTCGGAAGGAACTCAAATATGAAATTGAAGAATGAGTAACTGTGGTGTGTAACCGATTGCTTAAATCAGCCTCTGTAGCAGATGACTGGAGGATAGCTAATGTGATGCTGATTTTTAAAAAAGGGCTCTGAGGCGATCTTGGCAATTACAGGCTGGTAAGCCTAACTTCAGTACCAGACAAATTGTCATTTCAACTAATAAAGAGTAGAATTATCAGACCCATATAGATATTTTGGGGAAGAGCCCACATGGGAAAGGGAAATTGTGCTTCACCAATCTACTAGAATCCTTGGAGGTGGGTCAACAAGCATGTGGGCAAAAGTGAGCCAGTGGATATAAGGTGCTGGACTTTTTGAAAGCCTTTGACCAGGTCCTACTCCAAAGGCTCTTAAGCAAAGTAAGCTGTCATGGGATA